TTAGAAAGCTTCTCTCTCTTCCAAAAATTCCATCCTACTAGAATTAGAATTAGAAAAGAATACTCACCAAAGACTGTTGAAAGATTTCTTCTTTCTAGCCTGTAAAACTCATTCTCCTTTTAACCACCTTCCAGTCTCTACTGGAATAAAAGTGATGGCTTTGAATAAATAGCCTTTGATTAACTCTATTAGGTGGTCTTTGTCCTTTCGATAAAATAATTACAAGTTGATCAAATAGTGAATTGAAAGAAAAAAGAATCATGAACATTCTAGAAGAAAACATAGTTTAAAGAATAACTTTGGAATATGAGGAATTCTACAGGTAAAACACAAAATCCAGAAGCCAAAAGGAAAATAGTAAAAAATTAGATTAAACAGGAAACAAAATATTTTTGTATTAAACATTTTTAAATGCAAAAGATAAATTTTTCAAACATATAACAAGGGATTGATTTCCTTGATATATAAAAAAACTTTTAAAAATCAATGAAAATAGCTCAAAGAAAATGGGTAAAGGAAATGAACACAATTCACAGGAAAATAAATGCAAATAATTAATAAACATATGAAAAGAAGTTTATCTTCACACATAATCAAAGAGTTACAAATTAAAACATGACAAACATCTATCAGAATGTCAAATATTTAAATGTTTGACAGTATGCAATATTGGTAAGGGTATAAGGGAAGTGGTACTCTCATACCATATTGGGAGCAAGATACATCACTATTGAATTTTTGAAAATTAATTTACCACAACTATCAACATTTAAGATGTACATATGCCTTGATCTTGCTATTCTACTTTTAGGAATTTATTTTATGAGCAAAGGTATATATGAACAGGGATATTTCATAGTTTTCATTTTGGGGGAATAAATGCTCAGCAGTGTGACAGCTATTTACTTTTTAAAGAAACTGCTTAACTATTTTCCAGAGTAGCTATACCATTTTTCATCCCTACTGGCAAATCATCAGTGATCTATTTTCATTGTATCATTTCCCAGATTTAGTATTCTGAATGATTTTTTGATCCTAAAAATATTGTGCTATTCTCCCTACCTTAAAAAAAAATTCAGGAAAGAATCAAGAAGGCAGAGGAGTGAGTGGAAGTCACACTGACCTCCTCCCAGGACCAACCTGGAATTACAACTAAATTATGGAGAAATCACCTGGAACGAACAACTGAACAATAGCAAGAAAGGAGCATTTTAACCTCAGACAGACAGAAGAATCAGTTTTAGCACAACCTAACTGCTTCTGGGCTTGAATATTTTACTTCAAAGTGTCATGATTGCTGAGAATTTATAATAGATTTAAATTTTTTAATATTTTATAATGGATCTTGACATTTAAATAAAAAAATAAATAAATAAAATCTGCATAAAAAAAAAAGAAAGAAGGAACTCCCTCCTTTTGAAACAACATAATGGAACTGGAGAATATTATACTAAGTGAAATAAGCTAGCTGGTGAAAGACAAATAACATATGATCTCACCTATCAGTGAAATCTATTCAACAAAATAAACTAATGATGAAAATAAATCACAGGCAAGGAAACATGGAGCAGACTGAAAGTGACCAGAGGGGATGGGGAAGGAGGACAATGGTGGAAAGAAAGAGAAGGAACTAAACAAAGAACATGGATGAACGACCCATGGGCATGGACAACAGAGTGGGAATTGACTGTGGGAGACGAGGGGGGAGGGTGTGATGGGTGGAGGAGGGCAAAGGGGGAAAACTGAGACAATTGTAATAGAATAAACATGATTTTAAAATAAAATTTTTTGAAAAAGTAAAAACAAAAGAAAACAAAACAAAACCCAGAAAAAAGAAAATCAAAGCCCATAGTTTATGTTAGGGTTCACTGTTAGTGATGTATATTCTATGAGTTTTAACAAATATATAATGGCAGATATTCACCATTATATATTTTCCTACTATTTTTAATTTTAGCCATTCTAGTAGGTGTGTAGTGACATCTCATTTCTGGTTTTAATTCACATTTCCCTAATGGCTAATGATGTTTAGCATCTTTTCATGTGCTTATTTGCCTCTTGTATATCATATTTCATGAAATATCTTTCATGTCTGTTGTCCATTTTCTAATTGAATTTTTTTTTTTACTGTTTAGTTTTGAGAGTTACAATTAGTCTAAAGCATGCGTGACAAAACAGATATTTAAATTAGTAGCAAAGGTTTCTTTGAACAAAGTGCAATTGTAGCCAAGTCTTTGGAAGAGATAAAGGAATATTTCCTTTCTTGACATTTCTAGGGATTTGGGGATAAAGTGGAAGGCTACCAGATATGCTCACTCTGCCATCTTGCTCCAATCTTCTGTATTATTTTTCAAAAACAGTGATTGTGCTTATTATTCAATTAAGATTATGTTTTAAAAATCACAGTAAGGAAAATATATGGCAATATTTAACCATACTTAATGGAAACTTAGGAATGTGGCCTGCTCCTTCTATGCTCCAACTCACATGCTCAAGGGGATTGAAGAGGAGCCATGATATCCTGGAGGAAATGATCACATTTTTTGATTGTTTAGTAACAGTTCTGTGCTGGGAAAAAGACTAGCCTCAAGGCATTTCTGGCTGAATGTTTATCAGTTACAGTCTCTAAACTAGTAGGCAGCAGAATTGCTTCTTTCTACATGATGGCCTTTGTGGTAGATGGCAGATTTCCCTGAGGCCTCAAAATGGCAGGTTTCCAAAATGTCACTGGCTGACAGTCAGACCCAGCCAGTCTTGGTGTGATTTGAGGGCTAAAGTCATTCTACCTTGTGCAATAGTCAAAGCCTATAATAAACAGCTGCAGTCTCTAACGTTGGTCAAAAACACTTTTTACGCCAACCTCAAAGCTACCCTAAAATACATGCATGAATCTTAGGGTCCCAGAGTCCATCTGGAGAGGTAAAGAACATGAGGTATTACAAAGCAAATGGATTTTGTAATCGGATGGATCTGAGTTCAGATCTTAGATCAGTGCCTGGACAAATCACTTGCACTCAATTGCAACTCATTGCACTCCAGCTACTTTATTTGTAAAATGGGAAACAATCATAGCTATCTCCAAAAGAAGATTATAACCAGTCACTTTTTCATTGACTCAACATTTATAATTGCCCACCTTATACCAGATCTTATTCTGGGTCCTAGGGGACACAATACTGAACAGGCAATGTGCCAGCTCTGTGAAGTTTATATTCTAGTACGAAGAGAAAGATAGTAACACAGATCAAAAAATAAGTAAGAAAATGCCACAAAAGAGATGAAACAGAGAGTTGCTACAGTTTCTCTGTGTTCTCTCGTTGGTTCAACCTAATTGGCAAACTGTATAGAACCTCATTTTTTTCACAGGCCCATTATCTAAGCCAGCAGGCCCTTGGGAAAGTGTCTCATGACTAATTTTAATGGCCCAGTGATGATGGAAAGAGACTTGACTTTGGGTGGTGAACATACAATACATTATACAGATGACGCATTATAGAACTGTATACCTGAAAACTCTATTATTTTATTAAACAGTGATACCCTAATAAATTCAATAAAATTTTTTTAAAATGTAACAGCCTAATGTGACTCCTCTGGAAATGTTTGCATATACTACATATCATGAAATAATGTCATTTCATTCAACGTTTTGTTATAATGTTGATGAGATGCTGTAGGCACTTAACTCTTGTTTGTATCAGTTAGACAATGGTAAAATTGGTTTTGTTTTATGTCACTTCACTTAAAGTTGCAGAAACTATTGATGATATTAAGTGAGGACTTATTGTATTAGCAGAAGGCCAAGGCCTTAGGTCCTTCTTTTACTTCACTTTACTGGTGGACTTTTAGGCTCTATGTGGCCAGTGGAGGTGGTATTTGGGGACAAGTAGACACTTACTTGCCCAGCCTCTGCCTGAGAACATTCTATTTCTGAATGTCTTGTAAAAGTTGTTGCTGGGATCATGACTTAATGAAGTGGAATTTGTGGCTTGCAGGAACCAGCTTTGATCCTGCCCTTCAAAAATATAACATGGGTTTCCCAAGAAAGAGCCCAAGGTGATGAATGTTGCTATTTCAAGCCTAAGCTTCCTAGGAACGCAAGTGTGGGTGTCAGCCTCTGGTCCTCCAGGCTGCTCTGGCCCAGAGCTGGGTTCCATGATGATAGGTGGATTAGGCACATGCTTAAGGTACTGGTAAAAAAGAACTTGCATACATATGAAAAATTAGCTTTCAAAGCCTTATTTAGAATTTTGGAACCAGAAAAATCTTGGAAGGTTGTATTCTAATATCATGTTTTATGTAAGTTTTCTGTTATGTTGAATGTGAGTTACAGAGGGGGGGTGAGCTCCATAATCTTTTGGAATTCAGGGTCTCTAAGTTTATAATCTGGCCCTGCCTCATAACACCCAGAAACTTCCCCTCACCTCAGTTCTCAAATTAACACACAAAGTTTCTCACTAATCTGGGGTCCAGACCAGAGAGTAGAAAATGTGATCTATTTCTTACTCTATGGCAGCTCTCTCTGACTATTTTCCCTTCTGTAGTGCCAATGACTGAACCACACAGTTTCATACCTCATCATGCACAATGACCAGGAGCGCGATGGTAACAATAGGTGCCTCTGATTTTTAGGGCAAATCTGTGGGGACAGAGAGGTCCCCTGGACCACTGGGTGATTTTTTTTTTTTTTTAAAACATGAGGGAGCTTTCCCTACAATGCAGAAATATATTGTTTTTCTACTTCTGGTCTTGACTTTTACCCCATCTTCTATTGCTGTTTTAGGAAGCAAAAGTAAGGGCCAAGGCCTGGGAACATGAGTGTTTGACTGAAGCTCCACTTGGCCTCCCCAGCCCAAGCTGGGTTGCTCCAGTTCCCCAGAGCAGAGACCTGGGAGAGCTTCCAGGGGCAAGGTGCCTGCCCATTGGTCTCTGGCCCTCACCAGGTTGGCCAATGGGAAGGGACAACTCTGAGGTGGGGACTGCCTACCCCCACGAGTACCAGGCTGCTGAGGCTGGCTCATCTCCTCACTTCCATACTGACTGCAGTCTGTGGGTCTGATCCCACACCTGAAGGTAAGAGCAATTTGATTAAAGTTCGAGGGTGAGGGTAGGGGTGACTACCATGCAGTGGGGACTCTGGCTGGAATGTGCCCACACTCTCCTGTTGCAACAGGATGGTGATAGATACAGCAAAACTCTAGCCGGCGCAGCTTCCTCAATTCTCTCACAGTTCCAAGAGCAAAGGGACTGTTCATTGGGTCAAAATACTTGGGACCATCTTGAATTTTGCACAGTTCACCCTGTGGCAAGATGCCTACTCAGAGAGAAAGTTAAGGTCAGTGAAGTGGCAGGGGGTAGTCCAGTGATAAAGTCCAATTAGATAAGAGGAGAACGGGGATCAACCTCTTCTCACAGAAAGAAGCACAGGAAGAGGAAGCTTGTGAAAAGCCCGAGCTCCCACATCAGACTGAGTTTGAAATCCAGTTCTACCTACCACGTGATTCTACTTAGCAAATACTATTGAGCAGATTCTATGGGCCAGACACTGGGTGAGGCTCATGAGATACAAAGATGAATGAAACATGGTCGCTGCCTATAGATTTGGGGGAATCTGTGGACATGGGAATATCTGCGGAGAGGTAGGGATATCTCACAGGGTAATCGAGAGGTTCAAATGAGACAAAGTGAGCAAAGGGCCTGGTGTATACTGGGAGCTTATGAAAAGTCTTACTTTTAGAAGACGCCTTTCTGACAGAAACTGTTGGATCTGCCTGGCCTTTGCCAAGCTCAGTTCTGCTTGCCCCAGTGAGCACAGTGTTTGAGGCATCCTGGTTGTTTTCAGCTGTAGATGCAGAGGTCAGAGTGGGAAGCGTTTTAGAGATCAGGCCAGGCCTCGTGTGTCAGGGCATGTGGGTCCCTGGTCTGGAAAGTTTCTCGCTTTCAGATCCAGCCTTGCAAGGGGTGCAGCCACCTCAATCCTGGTGACTCCTTTATTAGGAGTAAGGCTGGCTCCTCCTGACAAGGCTGGGGAGCAGGGGAGCCCTTCATACTGGCAGAATGTGCCCAAAGGAGCATGAAGGTATCTGCTTTGTTGTTGAAACAGAACAGCAGAAAGAGAGCTCTGCAGCTTAATTGGCAGTCCTTGTCGCTGCCCTCCTTTAATTCTTGAGGAGTTGTAAAGAAAGACACAGGACTTGCATCTTGTCCTTTCTATGGTGGCTGCAGGGATAAAATTTTCATTTACTCCTGTCAAGCCAGGAGACCTGCAGCCTCAGACACTTGGCTAAGTTCACAAGGTAGATGCTCTGCAGGCAAGAAGCTTTCAGTTAGGAATTCCTTCATGTGCAGAGAGACTGATCCTAAAAATGTGGTGGAGGGATGCTCTGCTCTACCACTTCTTTGAGAGCATGGTTGTGTGTGTGTGTGTGTGTGTGTGTGTGTGTGTGTGTGAGAGAGAGAGAGAGAGAGAGAGAGAGAGAGAGAGAGATTTGGGCGCATGGATGCTGACAGCTCTCCCAGGGCTGAGTTAAAGCTTTCAGGTAATCCTCCTGGGAGCTGAGTTGATTCCTCTGCCATTGAAATTGCTGGTATTCTACCATTTTTGACCTTTAAAAGTGGCAAGTTCACATAATTCCAAACGAGTTGCGTGATTTTAAGCCAGCATGTAGGGCTCTTCGAGTCTCAGATTCTTCTATATAGTGGAATCAAAAGCTGAGCTATGGGGAGGAGTAAATGAAATAAGATTTGAAAGTGCCTCATGCAATTTCTACTGCAAAGTACTCTTTCCAATTTGAATGTGTTCTCATGGTCCTCATCTTACATGACCTCATTTAGCCGATTAAGAAGCTGAGTCTGAGAAGCCTCTTTAGAGGCAGTGTACTGTGATAGAAAGCGCACTGGTTCGAAAGCCCGACTGGAATCTCACAGGGATCATTTTTTTAATCTCTCAATTTCCTTATTTCTAAAGTTGGGGTTATTTTCATTGCTTCATGGAATTCTTGTGAAGGTTAAAATAAATAATACAATAATGTGTAAGAGATCTTCGTGTGGAAGCTAGGTTCTAGGAAGATCTAAGAAATGAATCTCTCTCCTTCCCCTTCGCTTCCCATTTGTAAAAGCAGGGCAGAGGCGAAATGGATTCTGGGGTCCCTTTTGTCTCCCAGGGACTTGGTGAACTGTGCTTTAATGCCCTTTCCTGCTGGAAGAGTTGGCATCGGGCGACTTTTCCCCATACTGCTCTGTCCCCTGCCAGTCCCAAAGGAGACCTCATCGTTGTATTTCACAAGATTCTGCCGTTGTTACTGAAATTCCAGCAGGTCAAGGGAGCATTTCTCATACATTTTAATGTATGAAAATAACAGCTCATACTATGGCTGTTAAGGAGCCAAAGGACATCATGATCACCCCCTTGTATAACTTGAAAAGCAAACAGACCCTCTGCATGGTGTGCCATGAATCCACTGCAGTAAAAAGAACTCAGCCTTTGAATTTCAAATGGCACCTCTGAACACTTTCACTTCTTATCCTTGGGGAGAAGTTACCAAACTTCTCTGGTTCACAGATTTCTCTTGTGGGAATTGAGTCCTACCTTCTGGGGTTGTGGGGATGAAATGAGATTAAAGAGGTGATCCATACAAGTGGTCCATAAATATGTGTATGTATTTGCTTCCCTGCTCTTCATTTATATATATGGGACACTATAAATTTACAAAATACTCTTTAATATTTTTAGTCAATTGGTTTGTACAATAATAATGTGAAATAAACTAGATAAAGATTAGTATTATTAATGATCACATCTGCAGGCAAAGAGCATGATGTCCAAGATGTGGGGTGGAGGTGGGTAAGTTACCCAGTGAGTTAATGGTGGAGCCTAGACTCAGACGCCAGGTCACTTGTGTTATGACCTGGAGGTTTTTTCATGCTATTGTCTGTGTCCCCATCCTATGGAGTGAAATAGAAAAAGGGAGATGCACGGCCCTGATGCTGTTTTCTGCTTCTGGGCTATGCCTAGGAGTCCACTATTGGGCTTTGGAAGACCAGAATTTGACTGGCAGCTCCTCCATGTGTAGTTCTGGGATCTTGGACAAGTCACTTAATCTCCTTGAAGCTCACTTTCCTCATCTCTAAAGTGGATATAATCAGAGCTAACATTTATTAAACACTGACATGTGCCAGGCACTGTTCTAAGTACATTATATGGATGATATCACATAAACCTCCAATTACTTACTATATGGCTGAAACATGTTACAGGTAAGAACAAATTATTTTCACCCAAACACTGAGACCATGGAACATATGTTTCCTATTTCTGCCTCATGCTGTTTCTCAGAATGGGTGTGAGAATTAAATGAGGTATTAAGGTAAGAACTTTCTATACAACAAAAAATTATAAGTGGAACTTGGCATTGAGCTTCATGATCCATGTAAAAGGTCTCTCTTTTCTTTTGACAGCTTATTGTACTTTAATATGTAATACACAGGTATAAGACAACTTCATCTTACAGCATTGTAAATAAGAGAGAGATCACTCATGAAGGGCTCCTGAGTGAACAGCATCTTCATAACCTCCATGCTTATAATTTTGGCTCTCTGTATGTAATTCAATAAAATCATCAATTCTAAGAATGGTAATTGCAGCTTTTGTTGCAAATTTCAAGCTCTTAACTTTCAATTATGGTTGGTTCAAACACCCTTGCTTGTTTGTTGTTTTGAGGTTTAGCATGGATCAGATCAAGACCAATCTATTTTAGATTTTTGTTTTGAGTTAACTTGAGCCTCATTATGAAAAGCTCTTAACTTTGCAACCAGATCAGTAGAGTGTTGGGCAGCAGTAACTGCCAGCATAATAGAACTAACAAGAAGAGATTGTGCAAACTCTGCAATAGCAAGCTGCTCCTGAGACCCCATGCTGGTTGTATAGTTTTTGAGGTATACGGAAAGGGCTGCTTCTACAGCACCCCCACCCGGAACCACAGATTTTGACTTCAAAACTCTCGTCACACAAAAAGCATCATATAAAAAGCACCCCACCTTATCACACATGAAATCACTTGCCCCACAGAAGGTAATTGATGCAGATGTAATGAGCTTTAGTGCTATTAAATAAATAATATTCTTAAATCAATACTTTTATAAAATAAGTCTACATAGAAATTCGCTGTAAGCACTCTGATTAAATCCTGCTTAAATAAGGACATTTGGACATGGAAGCCATGTCTGGACTGTGCATGCAAAAGAGATGAAATGGTTATTTCATCTCCATTTACAATGGCCCAATGTTACTTTATACCATCCATATAACTGCTCCCATCATTGAAAAGACTATAGCAGAAAATAAGTGAAAAGTAAAAGGTTTTGTTATGTCCTTGCTGATGTGGCTCAGCTGGTTAGATGTCATTCCACAAAACAAAAGGTAGCCAGCCCCACTCCCCACCAGGACACATGCCTGGTTCCAGGTGAATGCAAGAAGCAACCAATTGGTGTTTCTCTCTCACAATAATGTTTCTCTCCCCCTCTTTCTCCCTTCCTTCTCCTCTCTCTAGAATCAATAAAACAAAAAAGATTTTTTTAAAAGTTTCTTTATACGCACAATTTAGTCTTACATCACAGAGTTTCATTTAATAATTTTTCTCCTATTGAAATAAAAGTTTTTCAAAATCTAAGTGTAACATTTACTATATCTAGACAAAGAGTACAGATAATTTTAGAACAATTTTTGACACTTAGGGACCTCTGCATGGACTGTCAATTGTTATCAATTACTGATTTTTCCACCCAGAACTAGGTTAGAAGACAATCTTGCTCTTCAATCAGAATCTGTTCTTAGCTTGTTCCCAGGATCATGTACCCATTTTCCCTCCACCCTTCTTTCAGTGCCTCCAGCCCATGCCACTGTCATAGAACCACGTTGTCCCGCTTAGTAGAAAAATCTGTCTATCACACTGAGGTGTTGAGACAGAATGTCATCTCTTCAGCTGTGAGAACGCACTTGCCCTCAGCAATTTTGGAGTAAGCCCTGCATTGCCTGTGATCTTCGGGGCCCACCATAGCTTCCTCCCCCAGGTCTCATATTCTGGATTCTCTCCTCATGTTTGTCCGTAGGGGAAAAAACACAGCCTCATAGATTCTGCCCTTCTCATTTCTGGAGAAAATAAGCACAGAACCTCTCGGAGGTCTTACCAGGAAGGGAAGTTTAAAGACATATGAAGTCTTCAAAGCCTCAGAACAATTATTCTTCCTAAATACAAATGGGGCTTTGTTGGTCTCTTCTTGGCTTCTCATTCAACACTCTTCTTTCTTATTTTGGGGCAAGCCAAGCCTAAACCATCTAATTTTATTCCCAGCGCTACTGAGAACACCGAGCTGAGAACACCGTACTGAGCCCTCCGCATCCAGTAGAGGGCGACAAAGGTACATGTAGAGGGTAAGAGTGAAGCTTGACTAGAGACTCATGACCACCAATGGGCAGCATCTGTGCCAGTCAGCACCTGTTGCTGTGTTGTCTCTCTTTCTCTCTGTCTTCCTCTCCGTCCGCCCATCTCATTCTCAATTCTCACTCTACTTATAAGATTATATTTGAACTTGATATTTGATAAGTGATGCATCAGATCGCTAGAAAGGATTAATTTAAACATGCCTTTAGCCCTGGTTGGGTGGTTCAGTTGGTTGGAGCCACCAAAAGGTTGTGGGTTCTATTCCTGGTCAGGACATGTATGGGAGGTGACTGATGTCTCCTCACATCAATGCTTCTCTCTTTCTCTCCCTCCCTTCCTCTCTCTCTAAAATCAATAAACATCTTTGGGAATAATCATAGCATATGTGACAAAGTGTTTGTATAAAGAACTCACAATAATTAATTAAAAAATCACATTGTGCCTCTAATTACATAAGTGATAAACAATGTTAACAGAGGCATCATGAAAAAAGAAATTCAATTAGATAGAAAAATAAATTACAAAACAGACCTTTCAGAGAATGTACGGTTCACTAATGATCAAAGCGGTGAGGAACATGTCTTTTGTTCACTCAACTAACAACAACAAAAAATGTTTTTAATGATAATATCCAAAGGTGGTGACAGTAGTTAAAATAAGCTCTTTTATACATACCCTGGCATAATACTGGGTAACAGTATAACAAACTAGAGTTTGGGAAAATGCCTCAAGAACCTTGAAAATGTTCCTATGTTTCGGCCTACTAATTTTACTTCTAGAAATGTGTAATAGCAGAAAAATAATTTTGGGAAAAAGCTATATGCCTGAAGATATTTTTTACAGGTTTTAAAATAATATTTTAAAATGGAAATGAGCCAAAAGTTCAACAAAATGGAAATGGTTACATATAATTTGGCTGTATCCATTTGATGTGCAAACACATTTAAAATGATGATTGTGAAAACTAGAAAAAGACAAGGCAAAAGTAGGGAATAAAATATATGTAAAGAATGTTTCCACTATGTTTAAAAATAAACAAAAGAATTCTTGGGATTGAGGATTGTTTTGTTTTCTGTAGCTTCCACATATGTTTATATTACTAGTTTTAATAAATACACGTGTGTGTGTATGTGTATGTATACGTAATGTATATGTATATATATGTGAAAGATTAGGTGGTTTTGTCACATAGAGCCCTAGGTAATGGAGCATACGAGTGGATTCCAGACAGTATATGCACATCTTTGGAAGTAAGATTGCCAATCAGGATCTTTCCTGCACCCTCAGAGAAGAGCTGTCTCCTGGAGCCAAACCCAATTCTGGAGAATTCACATTATCTATAAGAGATAAGCAAACTGGTGAAAAAGAGTGAGCATTTACAGTAAACAAAATACATATAGACTATGTTTTGTTTAGAATCAGGTTCTTGGGATTAACCATATTTCAAACTCAACAGAGGGTCTTATTGATGCTTGTGATCCAGAGACTTAGGACTTTTTCCCCTGTCTTCGGTGCTTTCAATGATCTGGTACACTTTAGGGATGGAGAGATTAAGATTCTGGCAATCAGATGTGGGGGCTGAGATCACCCTAATATCAGAGGCAGAAACTAGGTGGGTACCACAGTCCCTAGGTATGCAAAGGACAGCCTTCTGGGAGGGGACCATGGTGGGACAATTCTGAAACAAGGACACCCTTGGCCACCTGTGCCACTTGAGCTTTTTGCTTGGGCTCCCCTCACATATTTCAAATATACTCTACCCTCTCTCCCTCTTTTCCTCTTCTTTTTTCTCCTTCCTTTTCTTCCTCCTTCCCTTCCCCCACACTTGTGGTTTAATGGGGGAAATGGGTTAACTAATTAGGAATTACAGTACGGGGCAAGAAGAGAAGTGCTGGAGATAGGTGAGGGCACTGGGGACCACAGAGGAGAAACAACCAACCCAGGTGAGGAACAGAGAACTGGGAGGTGTTCCTGAGAGGCAACGCCTTGACTGTGCCCTGAAGGCTGTACATGAGATCAGCCATGTGAAGAGGTGCAGCTAAGGGTGGCTCAGGCAAATGGTCAGTGGATATTCTCCCAGGACAATGTGTCTCTGGTTGTCTAACCCAAGACAAGGCTGTGTGTGCATGCATTGTGCATGTGGATACATGTATGTGGGTATATGCACATGCATCCATGCATGTGTAGGAGCAAATGAGTAGTATATCAAATGGCCTAACATCACCCAGGGAAAAGGGGAGAGGAAAAAAGAGAATAGGAGAAAAAGGAAGAGGAACAGACATTAAAAAAAAAAAAAAGGAAAGAGAAGTGAAGAAGAAAATGAAAGGAGCTGAGAGAGAAGAGGTGGTTAGAATTGAAAGGAATGACCTGACTCAACGTTCTTGGAAAACTCAAGGAAAAGATTCTTGACAAATTGATTCTTAGAGCTTTCCCTGTGTATGGTCCTGTGCTCACATATGAGTAAATTGGTGGGGTGGTGTTGTGTTATCACTGAACTCACAATCCTATTGAGGAAAGGAGATTGCACACAAGGAATATCCTAAATATTGCAAATGGCAGGGCAGAAAGAGATTGAGCTGAAGTGAAATAGAAAAATCTTCCTGGAAGATGTGAGTATTGGAAGAGCAGGTCTCAGAAGTGAACTCAGCTGAGATGGTGAGAGTCTGGCTTAGGTCCTAATGTGTGTGCTGTGTGGGGTGTGTTTTTTCATGACTGACCTAATTCCAGGGCTCAGGATGCTGTTGCTACACGCTGTTCTACTGCTGTTAGTCCTGCCCAGTCATGGTCAGGACATCACGACCGAAAAGCCTGGAGTCCTGCCTGCCCTACCCAAGGGGGTCTGCTCTGGTTGGATGGCAGGCATCCCAGGGCATCCTGGACACAACGGGATCCCAGGCCGCGATGGCAGAGATGGCACCCCTGGCGAGAAGGGTGAGAAAGGAGATGCAGGTAAGAACAAGTTTTTTGGCCTTCTCTCTCAGACTTCTCCTGGGTAGAGGAGGGTTTTTAGAATGATACAAGTGTTTTAGTTATTTACTAAGGTCTAGATTCAAAGATGAAGCGAAGTTTTCTATATGTGACTCATAAGCAACCTAAAGTGGATTTTGGGATAGCCTTCCAGTGGTGAGAATAGGTGACACCTGTAAAATCAGGTATCCTTGACTGTGCTCTATCCATACCTCCTTCCCTGTCCCCTTTTCCATCCCCGTCTTCATCCATCCATCTCTATTCCAAACTAGTTCATATTCTTATTTCTATTCATTTCTCCTTAATTCCCATTTCATCCAGTGGCATTCAACCACACTTAATGTACACCTCCTGCAAGTCACAGTCCTGCTCCTGGGAAACTCTTGGTCTTTTAAAGAAGATAAGTCTAATGCACAAGACTCTGTGAGAAATTACTATAAGGAAGCTTACTCAAAATATGCCATATCGAATGTGGACAAGTGCCAAAGTATAAAACAGAGAAAAAAAATGCCCTCGGTGCACACTTGGATTAACAATGAAGGCTTTAGGAAGGAGGAAAGGCTTAAACTAGATCTTGGAAGATGAGCAGACAGAATAAAGGAGGGAGGGCATCGTACACAAATGGGATAGAGGAGCAAAGGTATAATTGATTGAGCTAGCATATAAGGAGTTGACAGGTAGAGGGTCGATGATGCAGGCTTATAAGACATAGGGTGGAAAGAATTTATGGGAATCTGCTGGGGTGATGTAGAAATAAGGGGCATAATGAACTCTCCCCATTGTGAACTCCCAATGGTTCTTGCTCTGCAAGTGAAGCAGGTTGTGTGTAGGTGTTATCAGGACAGTGCTTTAGTTGGAATCAACTTAGGTAGGAGTTCTCTTTCTTGTGGTCACTGAGGTCTTCTCATTTCTTAGGTCTTGCTGGTCCTAAGGGTGACACTGGTGAAACTGGAGTGACTGGTGTTGAAGGTCCCCGAGGCTTTCCAGGAGCCCAAGGCAGGAAAGGAGAACCTGGAGAAAGTGCCTATGTATACCGCTCGGCATTCAGTGTGGGATTGGAGACTCGAGTCACTGTCCCCAGTGTTCCCATTCGCTTTACCAAAATCTTCTACAATCAGCAAAACCACTATGATGACACCACTGGCAAATTCCACTGCAACATTCCTGGGCTCTACTACTTCTCCTACCACATTACAGTCTATCTGAAGGATGTGAAGGTCAGCCTCTACATGAACGACAAAGCTGTGCTCTTCACCTTTGACCAATACCAGGACAAGGATCTGGACCAAGCCTCTGGCTCTGTGCTCCTGTACCTGAAGACAGGTGACCAAGTCTGGCTCCAGGTGTATGGGACTGGGGAACATAATGGGCTTTATGCAGATAATGTCAATGACTCTACCTTCACAGGCTTCCTTCTTTACCATGACACCAACTGATGACCACTCACCCAGAGACTCCCCAGGGCCAAACAACCCAGAAATCAAAGAAAGGTCCACAGGTTTTCAGTTTGGTTAGGAGACTGATGTTATTATTTAGCCAGAGAGTTCTGAACATTATTCATTTATTTACTCATTCATTCATCAAGTACTTTTTTAAAAATATCATACACTATGTTCTTAGTCCTAAAGATGATATGTTCCCTTGCCTCAAAGATGTGGTATATTGTGGCAATAAAGGGATAATAGCATTTACTGGAGAGCTTCACATACATGACAAGATAACTGACTACAAGAAAGTATTTAACAGTGTTATTCTACGCCCACTGTTTCTCTTCGTGTTCATGTCAATCCTGTGAGGTATCAGAAAAGATCTTACTCTCACCTTTTTGCAATTGGGGTCCTGAGGCTTAGAGAGTTAAGTCAATGCCTATGGTCTCTACTAAGTGGTGGAGTTAGAAGTCACACTCAGGCCCATGGAACTTTTCTATTTTAATGTGTCCTTTTTTAGGAGTGCTTGGTCTCTTTGGGATGTTGTTTGGGCATGGCATCTCTTGTCCTTCTCACCTGAGGGCCACTGAATTGGTCTTTATCATGAGTTAAATCTTTTCCCAATAGGGCTCCCTCAGAGCAGGTGGTTCTATGACCATGTCCCATTTTAGCTGGACCACTCAATGGCCCCTGCACTTTTCTTTCTTCATGCTCTTCTTTCTAACACAAAAAGCTACCTCCATTTTCATATGTTGAAATCCTCCCTGTTCCTCAAAGCTGCCTGGTCAGGAAGCTTCTCTGAAAGTTCTGCAAACCTTCCTCACATACTATGCTCCTGTGCTTCTTTAGGTATTATTCTGAATGAGAGCCCTGGGCATGGGAGACATCTTCCCCAAGGCCAAAGACAACATCCAGAAAGACCATATTTCCTCCATATCTGAGTCCCTTTGCAGGTCCTCGATCAATGCCTTATGAAAACCAATCTCCTGAATCTCACATCTACCTAGAATTAACTCCATTTCAGTCTTTTCTTGTTGTATAACTAATCTTTAGCTACAAAAACATTGTTATTTTAGAAACTCCCTGAGTTAAGCACTTAATCCTTGTTCTACTGTACAGTTTGAATAATTTTCACTGAGCTTAGGAATGATTTTGCTTTCCAGAACACTTCAAGAATTCTTCCTCAAGGAGGTAACTTGAGCCTGCAATGTAAAACCCATGAAGGAATTTAAAATAATAACTGCTTGATGTGATATGATAATTAGCCTGATTGTGGTGATTATTTCACAACGTACATCTATATCAAATAAATAAAATTATATACCTTAAATGTAAAATATATACAATTTAACTGCAAAATATTCCTTGAAAAGAAAAAAGGGATTACAAATAGTTGATAGCGGTAAACATCCTCTCAGGAGACAAGAACTTAACTAATGCTCTTCCGATGTTTTAGCAAAAGCAGAGTTAATAGCATTCTGTATTAATATAGAAATGGAAACCTATTTTTTTGCTCACAGTTTTAAATTCTGAACGATCCCCTTTTATATATGCATTGCTATTCATTGATTATTATTTCTACATATAAAATTTTTTCTTTTAAAATGATTTTGTATTGTTATTTTCTACAAGTAAAGATACTGTCCAGCATTAAAAGCAGAAACATTTGCATCACATGGCTTTTGTTTTCATTTTTGGAGAAAGACATGGGGTACAGAGAAAGATGAAGGGTAAACCTTGTGCTAGCCAGGACTCTGTCTTGTGAATGAGAGAAAACCCAACTCAAACTAACAAACAAAACACCAAGTTTCCTTTCAAAATAGAAATACCAGAGCTGCTCTGTCAACCAGAGGCTCAAATGATATCATTAAAGGGCTTTTTCTGTCTTTCTTTCCACTCTGTCATCAACAATGTAGGCTTCGCACTCAGGCTCTACACAGTATAGTTCCAGGCTGTTCTTCATGATGTCAAAAAGACTGTATCCTGCCAGCTGTCATACCCTCTTCCCACATCATCTAGCCAAAGGGACATTCTGTTTTCTGGCAGTTCCCAAGAGGAGGGAAGTTTTCTCTACTGGAAGCCCCAGAAATTATGTCCTTGCATTGTATTGGCTCTGGCTGGGTTTTACACCCATCTCTGACCAATCACTGCAGTCAGGAGGATAAGCTGTACTTATTGATTTAAATTGATCATGGTTCAATCTGGGGAAGGCGTATTTTTCCTAAAGCAAAATCTGGATACAATTACCAGAAGTGGGAGAAAAGAAGATGAATGTAAAAACAACATTTGTTCACAACAAACTGTCAATGTTATGTTTTAGTTTTCTCATGTTTCTCAGAGAGATATTGCTGGAAAATATATATATTGGTTGTCATATATATTACATCTATTTTCTCTAAAATTTCATCAAATAGCCAACATCTGACCATGCTCACAGTTCTGCATCTGTCTAGGGCGGGATCCTCACAACACTGAACACAATGTCACACTCACTTTGAACTCTCTGGAGGAGGATCATTTCTTTGTGGAAAAAGAAAGGGTCAATTTTCATAACATCTCCTGAGAAATTGTAGCCAAGATTTTTGAATTAATGGAATCCTGATGTTGTGTAATTGTGGATTTTTCTATGTCTCTTCATTTCTGTCACCTTTTGTTTCATGTATTTTGGAACTGTCTTGTTAGGTACGTACACATTTAGTGTTGCATCTTCTTGGTGAGTTTATCCTTTGTCGTTATAAACTGTCTTTATCTTTGGCAGTTTTCCCTATTCTGAAGTCTACTTTGTCTGAAATTAGTATAGGCGGTCTAGCTTTCTTGGTTATTGTTTGCATGGTGTGTGTTTTTCCATCATGTTACTTTTTAAAAAAAATTTTAATCTTTATTGTATTTTTTCCCATTACCAATTAGTCCCCTTATGCCCCCTCCCCCCAGCAATCACCACACTGTTGTCCATATCCACTTTTAATCTACTTACTTTTAATCATCTTACTTTTAATCTATCTATATTATAATTTAAAACATGTTTTCTTATAGATTGCAGGTGATTGAGTCTTGTTTTTTACCCAGCCTAGAAGTCTTTTTCTTTTAATTGGTGTTTAGACAGTTTATATTTAATAGAATTGTTGTTATGGTTGGATTTAAACCTATTTTTTCTTCTGTTTTCTATTTATCCCCATATGTTTCATTCTTTTTACTGGCTTCTTTTAGATTATTTGAATATTTCACAGTATTTCATCTGGATTTATTTGTTAGGTTTTTGACTGCATGTCTTCAATGTATTTTTTAGTAGTTGCTCTAAGGATAACAAAATCTATACCTAACTTTTCACAGTTTCCATAGAACTAACATTTTACCACTTCGAGTGAAATATAGATGCTTATAACCACATAGGTTTTTTTATCCTGCTCTTTTTATGTTATAGTTGTCATATATATTGCACCTAGATACATTGAAATATTACAATGTTATAATTTTCAACAGTCATACATAAAGAATTTAAGAAGAAAAAAACACTCTGTTTATCTATATATTCATTTTTTCTTGTTCTTTCTTCATTCCTTAAGTTCTGTATCTTCCTCTGGTATAATTTCCCCTCATCCTGGAAAACTTCATTTAGTATTTCTCTTTAAAAAAAATTTGCTGGTAATACATTCTCTTTGTTTCCTTTCATCTGAGAATGCCTTTATTTTGCCTGTATTTCTGAAGGATATTTTTCCTGGATGTAGAATTCTGGCAGTTCTTTCCTTACAGTTATTTGTTTATTTGTTTGTTTGTTTATTTTCCTGAACTTTGAAGATATTGTCTCACTGTCTTCTGGGCTCTGTAGTTTCTGATAAGAAATCTGCAGTCATACTTTCCTTTATTTGTAATTTATTTTTCTTTCAGCTGCTTTAAGATGTTTTCTTTGCCTTTTGTTTTTCAACAGTTTGATTATGATCTGTCCAGGTATAATTTATTTTAAGCTTAACCTGATTGGGATTTATTGAGTTTCTTGAATCTGTAAACAGATGTCTTCCACCAAATTTAGAAAGTTTTCTGACATTTCTTCAAATATATTTCTGAATCAATCTCTTTCTTTTCTTCTCTGGAGATTCCAATGGTATTAATGTATGAATGTTAAATTGACAAGCCCCTAAGATTTTGTTAATTTTTCTGGATCTTTTCTTTCTGTTCTTTTTCTGATCTAATTTCTATTGATTTACCTTGAAATTCTCTTTCCTCTGTCATCTCCATTCTGCTGTGGAGCTCATCTGGTGAGTTGTTAATTTCAGATATTTTATCTTACAGTTTAAAAATTGCAACTTAACTTATACTTTAAAAATTATTTTTCTCACCCTGGCTGGTGTGGCTCAGTGGATTGAGTGCTGGCCTGTGAACCAAAGGGTCACCAGTTGGATTCCCAGTTGGGGCATATGCCTGGGTTGCAGGCCAGGTCCCCAGTAAGGGGCACATGAGGGTCAGCCACACTTTGATGTTTCTCTCCCTCTCCTCCCTCCTTTCCTATCTCTCTAAAATAATAAATAAGTAAGTAAATAAATAAATAAATAAAATCTTAAATTTTTTTTTCTCTCCTGAGAACTTTATCTTTCCATTCATTTCAAGAATATTCATCATTACCTCATGGTTATAATAGACGTTTTAAATTCTGTGTCTGGACATTCCAATTGGAGTAATATTGAGGTTGGCATCTGTAAATTTTCTCTTCTCCTGAGTATTGGTCAGACTTTTCTGGTTCTTTGTCATTAAGTAATTTTGGATTGTACCCAAAATATTTTGAACATTATGTTATGAGATTCCAGGTTCTCTTAAAATACTCTAGAGAATGTTGAATTTCTTGTTTGCTTGTGTTAGCAGGTATTAATTGGCTTAGGTTTAGAGTACAAGTTGTATCTTACCTTCTGTGATTCCAATGTTGATTCAGTTTTTAAGCATTTGTTATGCTATTTGGGTTTATTTGTTACATGTATCACTCAGAGTTCAGTCTGGGACTTTGGTTGCTCAGTGCTTGAAGCCTTTGCTATGCATGTGTACCTCTGGGAGTTCAGTATGGAACTTTATGTAGAGTCCCAATTAGAGTTAAAAAACATTCTTTCTTCTCTTTCATTTCCTTGTATTCTCCATGCCCTAGAGAGCCTCCATTTCCTGGTTCTTGTGGCTAAAAAGCTAGGATTTTCTCCAAGTTCTAGTTTCCTGCTCTGTTCTTTTGTTCTGTGTGAAAGAGGTTGCCTTTGGGACTAAAGCAGCAAGAAAAAAGAAAGAAAAAAAGTAACAAAGAGTAGCTCACATTCTTTGATCAGCATAGCCTGCTTTACATAGAGAGATGTATTTTTTTTGAGAATTTTAGATACCATGTTGCCTCTGCTGCTATGACAATGCAGCCTAGTGGCTGGGGCTGGTCTCAGGACAGAGCAAGGAGGGAAAATAAAAAATAGAGCATGTAAAATAATATTTGTGGTTTCTCTTACACTCTCTGTCATGCAGGGGTTGCTTTTCCTGATATTCTGGTCACCAGCAGGTGATTTCTTCCAGCATTTTTTCAACAGTGCCTTATAGATGATTTCAAGACTTGACCTACCTTCAGGTCAGATCTATGAGGTTAAAAAGAAAAAAAAAACCCATAAAACTCACTCAGGCTATGTTGTTATTCAAGTTTTGACCTTAGTCCTCAATCTGCCTGCTATTGTTTACTTTTCAGAAGTTTTATGTATTTGAGGTAGGTTTTTTTGCATTTTATCTAGTTTTTGGTAGTAACAAGTGGAAAAGGTAGACTGTAGTTGACTTACTTTATCTTAGTTGGTACTGAGTAGCCAATATCCCATAATACTCCCAGAGGAGGAAAAAGTGGGGAGGGATTAAGGAAGAGCAGGAGTCACAAGAAGGCATAAAATGTACCCTGAAACTGGTGGGAGTCAAAGAAAATAAGTCCATAAATGGGATAAACCATTGTCCCACTTGGAGACAGAATCTGAAGGGTACCCCAAACTCCTTGACCAAGGGAGGGAGGCTGGGGCCAAGTAAGGTCTTACTTGTTACTTTAGCTCTGATTTTTCTTGTGCCTGGAAGAAATGATAAAAACACGTCACATGCTGTGCAAAGACAAAAGCAGTAGGCATGGCTGCACCCACAGGGATCAAAGCAGAAATATTTATCTCCAAGTTTAGAGAGATGGGGTGGGGAGGGAGGGAGGAGATGGGGCAGGGGGGAGAAGGGGGGAGAGGGGGAGAGAGAGAAAGAGAGTGAGAGAGAGAGAGAGAGAGAGAGAATGAACTTTGGTTCACAAAAGTTTCCCACTTTTTTGTTCCAGTCCTTAACACTGTATTCCTGCCCCTGAGTCTCATGAGACATCAGTTCCTAGGTTTTTGTACTGTTTTCCCTTTTTTTCTCTTTGTAGTCAGCATTCAGCCTTCATGTCTGAAGAAAGTGGAGGTGTGCAAAGGAGAGGGACAATGGGGAGCCCGCCCTGTCCCAAATGAGCAGTCGCTCATCATTCCACTCAGTGATAGCTGTTATGGTGGAACGCTGTCAGATTTCAACAGAATTCGGAACTGTGGATTTTTATGTGAAATCTCATGATTAAATGTTAATAATGCATGTAGGAATTTCCAAATGTCATAAGGACTAAACGTTTGTGCCCTCTGAGAGCAACTGTCAAGGA